AGCCACGTATCGAACTGGATCGGACGGCCCTCATGATCGAAGGTGAGGACAATGAGAGAAGCCATAGCGGGCAGAGCAGGGTGGTGCGTGACCAGCAGGGCAGTACGCAGGTAGGGCGGCGCGCGTGCACTAGGGAAGCGCGCAGGGCAGGGCGAGGCGGCGCACGGCTAGGGGAGAGCGGTGCACGGCCAGGGCAGGGCAGTGCAATGGCAGGGCAGGGCGGCGGCCAGCAGGGCGGCGTGCGGGCAGGGCAGGGTGGTGCGGCCGCCAGTAGGGCGGCGCGTGGGCAGCAGGGCGCCGCGCAGCAGCAGGGCGTCGGCCAGCAGGGCGGCGCTCAGCAGGGTGGGTAGCAGCAGGGCGGCATGGGCAGGAGGGTGCCGGCCAGCAGGGCTGCGCGCAGCAGGGCGGGCAGCAGTCGGGCGGCGCAAGCAGTAGGGCGGCGTGCAGTAGGGCTGGGCGGACAGCATGGCGCCGGTCAGCAGGGCTGCGCGCAGCAGGGCGGGCAGCAGCAGGGCAGCGCGCGGGTGCAAGGGCGACGCGTTGGCTGCAAGGGGCGGCGCGCGGGCTGCAAAGGGCGGCGCGGCGGGCTGCAAAAGGGCAGCGCACGGGCTGCAAAGGGCGGCGCGGCGGCCAGCAGGTCGGCGCGCGGGCGGGCGGGCAGCAGCAGGTCAGCGCGCGGGTTGCGAAGGGCGACGTGCGGGCTGCAAATGGTGGCGTGCGGGCTGCAAAGGGCGGTGCGGCGGGCTGCAAAGTGCGGCGCGCGGGCTGCGAAGGGCTGTGCGGCAGCCAGCAAGGCGACGCGATAGGCAGGGCAGGGCAGGCCAGGGCAGCGCGACTAGTGGGGCAGCGCTATTTGGTGGGCCCTAAAGAAAACGGTCCTGGAACAGGACCTGCTCTGAAACCATGTTAGAATACTGAACGATAATTAAATGCATTGAGCAGAAAGTTGGTGCAAATACACAATGTAAGCATAATAACATTTTGACACGCGAACTGTGTGAAGTTGTGCACGGGGTTCGCGAAGGAGATCGTGGCCAGGATGAAGTTCCGCATGTGGGACTTGCAGCAGATGGGTGGCGCGAAGCTGTTTCAAGTGGAATCGTGGCCTTCCAGGGAGGACCAGAGGGAGATCAAGTGCCTGGATTGGCTGGCCCAAAACGACGAGCTATTTGGCGGCATGCTCCATGGTGAGATTGGATTTTGTACATGCCATCACGTCGAATCGGATTCCCCTGTGCATGTCGTCGTAAGATGCAAACTACTCATAACCACACACCCGTACATCCACCCTGCAAATCCCCGTCCACGTCAGGATTTAACTTCAAGGCGGCGAAGAATGAGCTCAGGAGCTTCTGCCACATCTTGGCACGTCATCACGTGGGGGAAGATTTCCACCAAGGACTTCATAGCATGCTGAAGATCAGAGACTGGCGACGTACCTATCCGAACCTGATGACACTGTGGCAGGCACTCGTTGTGCTGCCACTGAGCACAGTTGAGTGTGAGAGAGGTTTCAGCCGCCAAAACATCATCAAAAGCTGGATGCACACATCGCTATGCGATGCACGCCTTGGCGACCTCATGACGCTGCACATGCTCAAGTAACCGTACGTGTGGCCAGATGTGGTGGACATCTGGCGCAAGCTAGAAAACCAGACGGCCGGCGAAATCAGTTGCGCAGGTGACCTCAGTGGAAAGAAAGGGGAAAGAGAAAGTGCCGGAGCCAGAAGAAGAAAGTGACCACGAGCAACACCCGTGTGGCATGTCTGATGATGACGACTAAGATTGTTATTGTGAGCTCTGTTAATAACAATTTCATCAGGGTTTGAAAAAATTGTATACTGATGCCCCAGGGTTGAATTTTCAAAACAAGCAGAAACCCTGATGGAAAAGGATTTTCATAAGGGGTCACACTGATAATCAGGGTTTAGGAAATGAGCAACACTGATCGTAAGGGTTGCTAAAATCAAAAAATTAGCCCTGGTTCATATGTGTTTTTACGTTGGAAGTAAACACTCATGTAACTGGCTAAGTACAAAGAATCTTGGGAAAATATGCCACAAGTAACCAACTTGGGACTCGATAACGTGAATGGTAAAAAAAAAAACGCGTACGGTCACTGTATCGGGTTTTCTGACGGGTGTGGTAAGCGGGGTCACGGATTCAGTCACTAACAACAGGTAAAAAACCACGCGAATGGTCACACATGTAACTCCCGCCAAAAAAACTTGAAACTCAACAAAATTCCCGCTCGCGCCCAACCAATCTGCGAACTTGTAAAATAACTAAAACCCAATCGGAATCGGATGCGGTTTGGGAACGGATCAACCCTAAACACCTGGCGAGTTACGTGTTTAGGGTTGATCATCCGAAAATGCATCCAGGTTCTTTCTGGGTTTCATTTTGTTTTGGCGGGAGTTTCATCTGTGACCATTCGCGTTTTTTTTTTTACCAGCTGATTGTGACTGATTCCGTGAAACGCTTTATCAGTCGCGTGAAAACACCCTTTGCAGTGACCGTACCCTTTATTTTTTTACCAAAAATGTTTTCGAGTCCCATGATGGTTACGAACGGCATATTTTCCCAAGAATCTTAGCGCGGATGTCTTGTGTTCACAGAATTCATCCTCGTTGCAAGCCCGTCCATCTGCCACCCCTTGCGACCTTCACTGCCTTGCGAGTATGACACCACCATTTCTTCGCACATCGTTCAGGGAATCATACTAGAAACATTAGCTACTCCGAGGACAGTAATTAGTCTCGCAATTTTGAGTTCCGAGTCCTCCTCGTCCCTCCCTGGGCCAAGGGTTGTGCATTGCGGCGAAACAAGTCCTCCTGTTGCTCCCTTTCCTCTAATTCCCTTTCCAGCTTCATCCCAGCGGGTCCGCTGAAGTCTTGACAGCGTAGCAGCTTATCTAGGCATTTTTTTAGCGTGCGCGTGAGCCTCAGGATTACCCGAAGCGATCGTGCTAGTGGGGAGAATGGGAAGCGCGGGGAAACTAAGAAGCGGCCGTGCAACCATGGCGTCGGTAACTTCCTCGAAGGTAGGCAGGCAGGGGAAGAAGAAGGCGGTGACTGCGCCCAACCGGGGTGAACCGAACACAACCGAGCCTCCAGCGACGTTGGCTACAGCACGTGTAGATGACGTCGCAAGTACGGGTTTCGCAGCTGAAGCCGCAACGATCGCAGACGCGGCGACAGCAGACCCTAACTCGGCGAACCTTGATGCGACGCCTGCGAAGGAGTCGCAGACGTCGCCGCCTGACGGCAAGCGAAAGCGAGCACTTGGCGACGACATTGACGCGATTTTCAACCAGGCGAAGCAGAGCAAGCAGCAAGCTACGGCGGGCAGCGGGCAGAAAGGAAAAGACGGCAAAGGAGGCACGAAAGACCATTGCAGCGAAAAATCACCCGGAGAGAAGAAGGGGAAGAAGAAATCCAAGGCTGGTGGAAGTGGCATGGATGCAGAGAGCAAGGCGGGGAAGCGGACGGAGGAAGGGTACAGGGTTTACAAGGAGGAGGAACTGGGGTGGAACAAGAAGAGTGCTGGCGGTACTGCGCTGTGCCCCTTCGACTGTGAATGCTGCTTCTGAGCCTGGCTTTAAGGCGCTTAGAGAAATGCCTGAGGAAGCGGACGCAGAAAAGGGTTCAGGGTTTACAAGGATGAGGGACCTGGGGTTCACAAGGAGGAGGGGTATATAGGGTTTACAAGGAGGAGGAACTAGGTTGGAACACTGCGCTGCGATTCTTCGATTGTGACTGGTGCTTCTGAGTCCGGCTTGAGTTGTTTGCTTTGAGGCGCTTAGAGAGAAGTAGCTGAAGAAGCTGAAGCAGGAAGGGGTACAGAGTTTACAAGGAGGAAAGATGTAGGGTTTACAGGGAGGAACGGTATAGGATTTGCAAGAAGGGGTCTGGGGTTTACAAGGAAGAGGTTTACAAGGAGGAGGGGTGTTGGGCTTACAAGGAGGAGGGGTGTTTACAAGGAGGAGGGGTATAGAGGGCACAAGGAGGATGAGCTAGGGTGGAACAAGAAGAGTGCAGGGGGCACTGCGCTGTGCCCCTTCGACTGCGAATGCTGCCTCTGAGCCTGGATTTGAGGCGTTTCGTTAGAGGCTCCTAAGGGCCTCTAAAGAAATTCGAGTCAGGATTGCAAGCCTAGGGAGTGGAAGCTGGGCTGCTGGCGTGAAGGCTGGGATATGAAGGCTGCTGGAGGCACTGTGTTGTCCTCCTTTTGTGACTGCTGGCTTTGTGTGGCGGTCAATCAGCTTCATCAGCTGATCCATCGGGTGATCTATCAGGTGACCTACTGTCAGCAACAAGTTGGCTAGAGTGACTGCTCTAGCTGCTGAAAGAAGTAGGCTGGTGGTGGCGGGTCTTGAGTTGCCCAGTAGGGGTTTCAGGATCTAACTTGGTACTTCTGGGTGGATTAGCTAGAGCAATGCAGGAGAGGCTGTGCGGCAATCTCAAGCTGTCAATCTAAGGAGGCTGTCTTCTTCCACTCTTCATGCGTGCACCACACTGCAGCTCCTGAACTTGATACAATAGACACTTCTTCATGAGTGTACTTGTGGTACATAACAGTCAATGTACTGTAGCAATGACTACACTACACCCTTGTCCTTGTCCAAGGTTCACATGCCATCCTCCACCCTCCCAGTTCCTACTGTACACAGCGTGCTCATGTGGCATCAGCATCACAGGACAGGGCAATGGTTTGAGTTGAACCCACCCCATGCCACACCTCATGCCCACCCCATGCCACACCTCATGCCCACCCCATGCCACACCTCATGCCCACCCCATGCCACACCTCATGCCCACCCCATGCCACACCTCATGCCCACCCCGCGTAGCGAGGTTGTTTTTGAGACGTCTCAAAAACAACCTCGCTACACGTCACCCCATGCCACACCTCATGCCCACCCCGCCTGCCCACACGTACCCACTCGCCCTAACAACACCCACCCACCCACCCACCCACCCTGTAAAACTCCCTAGGGCCTAGGCCTCGGCACTCTCAGCGGCCTTGCTCTGCTGCTGCTGCAGCTTCTGAACAGCGCCCTCATATGCAGCATCGGCATCGCGCAGCGGGATGGAGCCGGCAAGCAGGTGCAGCGGCGCCTTGAGGCAGTACCCGCAGCACTTGCCCGTGCACTCGCGACGCCGCCCACACTCACGGTTGTACCTGGGGGAAAGGGCGGGGTAAAGGGCAGATGGGCAGACGGTTTGGAACTAGAGCATATTGCAATGAACAGGGGTTTAGAGCAAGCAGTAGCAGTGGTGTCTAGAGGCAGTAGCCACAGCACTTGCCCGTGCACTCGCGACGCCGCCCACAGTTGTACCTGGGGGAGGGGGCAGGGCAGAGGGGAGATGGGCAGACGGTTTGGAACCAGGGGATATTGCAGGAGGCTTGAGGATTCCCGAAATTGGAGGTTACATGAGAGGAGGGCAGGCAGACAAGCAGACAGTGGAAACCCAGATTTTTATTTTTTTAAGTCGAACAGAGAAGCAGCAAGCAGCTGTGTTTCTTTAGGGGAATTGATGGTGTTGTGTTGGTAGTACCTGCACATGTAGCATCGGGGAGCGTCGATGCTGTCTTCCGAGCCTGGCCCCACTGGCCAGGCGTCCTCAAAGGACTTCTCAAAGTTTGCAAGAACCTGGTGGGGGAGAAGGGGGGGAGAGGGGGGGGGAGAGGGGGGGGGAGAGGGGGGGGAGTGGGGGGGGAGAGGACCAAGGAAGAGGCAGGAGTGGTAAGAAACGGCAGTCAGTTCCAAAAGGCCCCACTGGCCCCACTGGCCACGAGTCCTCAAAGGACTTATCAAAGTTTGCAAGAACCTGGTGGGAGAGAGAGGGGGGAGAGGGGGGGGGAGAGGGGGGGGAGACGAGGGATTGAGCAAAACAAAGTCAGTGTAGTTGTATGAAGGCAGCAGCGCGCCCTGATGCAGGCTGACAGCTTGCTACTGCCCCCATATGGCTATACCTACCACTCATGCCCCCACTCACTCCCATCCACTCACATTGAGCACAGCACCCACTCACATCCCCACTCACATCAAGAACAGCGAAGTCAGTGCGATCGTATGAAGGCAGCAGCGCGCCCTCGTCGTCCATGTCGTTGCCGTCCTCTGCTGGACTCGCACCCGCCACTTCCCATACGACGGTACCACCCACCCACGCCCCCACTCATGGCCCACTCATATACCAACAACAACACAGTGACTCACATCAAGAACAGCAAAGTCGGTGTAGTCATATGAGGGCAGCAGTGCGCCCTCATCATCCATGTCGTTGCCGTCCTCTGCAGGACTCGCGCCCGCGCCCGCCAGACACGTCGGGTAATTCACCCCCTCGGTGGCGGGGAATTTACCCTCGAAAATGAGGTGCACCTCGTAGCTCATCCCAAAGTCGTACTGGTAGACCAGCAGCGGATCGTTCTTGGAAAACACCGCCCCCACTTCAAACGCCCTCTCGTCCAACACCTGATGGGAGGGGAAGGGAGGGGGAGGGTGGGGTTGGGTGGCGAGGGCAAAGAGGAGGGGGAGAGTGGGGGTGGGTGGTGAGGAAGGGGGAATGGGGAGCGCGGAGCAGAGGATCGGGCTTGGAAAAGACAGATCCCACTTAAAAGGCGCTCTCGTCCAACACCTGATAGGGAGGAGGATTGAGGAATGGGAGTGGGGAGGGTGAGCGGGGGAGGGTGAGCAGGGGAGGGTGAGCAGCCGGGGGGAGCATGGCAGGGGGAGCAGGGGAGAGCAGCACACCCACTTGTGCCAGCAACCAAAAAACGCCCTTTCCAACCCCAACATCTCATTCATCCCCCACTCCACACACAAACCCTCCCCCCTCCCCCCCTACCACCCACTCTTCCCCACTCTCATCCACACCCCCACACTCCACCCTCCACACTCCCCCCTCCCCACTCCCCCCCTCACCTCGCCGGGCCCAGTCAGCACCGACACCTCCTTCCCTTCTCCCGCCGCTGCCACGTCAGCATGCTCCACAAACACCACCTCAGCACTGCCGCCCAGATCCAAACTGGCCGGCGTCAGAATCAAATCGTCCGCCGCCTCCTCCTTCGCCCCTGCTACAGTCTTGAACGTGCGCGTGAAACCGGGCGGCAGAGAATCCAAATCCAGCTGTAGCAGCTCCGCTACAGCCGAAAGATCCGTCCGGCCAAACCCCCGGTACTGCGTGTCGGGGAGCGGCGGGAGAACGGCCTCGGATGTAGCAGGGGCAATGATGCCGGCTGTAGCGGCGGCGGCTGTAGCGGGCTTGGGTTTGGCTGTAGCGCCGTCGGTTTCGGCCTCCGAGTCGGTAATTTCGTCCGCGAGCGCGGCGGCCGGGTCGAGCAGGCGGCGCCACGCGTGGCGGCGCGGCTGGGTGAAGTCGTGGAGGTGCGTGTCCTCCCAGTCGAACGCGTTCTGAAGAAGAACCGAGGGGACGGGGGAGGGTGGAGTGCGGGGTACAGAGGATGGCGGAATGAGGGTATGACGGATGAAACGACCTTATCCTCAGAAATGGCGGAGAAGAAGCGCCGTGGAACAGGCGCGGCCACAGGATGGGCCAAAGGTGAGGCCAAATTGAATCGCGGCGACGCGTGTACGGCAATAAGCACAACAATACGCGGTATCTCGTTATAATGAATCGTCGTCTGGTATTTAAGCGTGTGACACGTAGCCACAGAGATTAATCTCGTCTGGCCTGTCAATCAATCAATTTGGCAAATGTCAAGGAAAATAATAATCGAAGCGGGTTTCGTATTTAACGCGCATAAGCATGATCCATGTAGTCTCTTTTTGAGGCGCCTTGAAAATAGCTGAATAATCCGACAGAACGCGAACCCAATCGCTGACACGCGAACCGTCGCTCTGTATCGTTCGCAATAACAGCCTAAGGTGCAATCTCCTTTTTCACCGCGCTACTCCGTTTCCCTTCTTTTCTCTTTCGTGACTATTCGCTCACCTGCAGCGCGCCAAGCACTCGACTCACTTGCAGCGCGACGTGCAGCTCGAGCAACGAGAAGTCGGCCGGCACGGTGATGCGGCGCCAGATCTTCCGCTTTCGCAGCACGTCGCCGTCGTCGAGACTCAGCACGCACAGTAGCATCACCACCTCCTCCTCCGCCTCCGCCGCACCGCCCTCCTCGTCCTTCTCATCGTCGTCGTCGTCCTCGTCGTTATCCTCCTCCGCCGTCTCTTCCGCTTCCGTGTCCTCTTCTGCCGTTTCCGTCGCCTCCGCCTCCGAAGCTTCCTCGATTGCCTCTCCTGCTGCCGCGCCGCCCTTAGCCAGCAGAACTGCTGAGAAACGGCCGCCAGAGGGGGAGGAGCCATAGGGGCGAGGCCACGAGGGAGAGGACATGGGGGAGACGTTGAGGATGAGAAGGAAGGGAAGGGAGAGGGAAGACGATGGGGGAACACTGAGGGGACGACAGGCTGGCGAAACATTTTTTAGCAGACTTGAAAAAAAAAAAAAACAGGAGAGTGAAGGGAAGGGGGGAAGGGGGCGACGAACATGGCGGACTAAGAACGCGCCATGGTCTCCGGAACTGATGCGATTTCAGCAAGAGACTGGAGGGGGGTTGGAGATAATTGGCGCACCATGGCAAAGCAAAAACATGAGAAATCTCTGGTGTCAAAAGGGAATATCAAGGCTTACAACAAGTATTTATGCACTGAGCAAAGAGAGAAACATGGCTCTTGATTGAAGTGCTGCGCGTGAGCGCAGAAAGGCAGAACCTACCCTTCTCCTCCTCAGACTCTGACACGAAGGCTGACGACGACTCGTCCTCCGATGCCATACCGCACCCCCCGACTTGGCGACGAGGTGAGTACACAAGGACGAGGGAACTCGAAAATCAAATAATGCACGGAAGTCGGAAGGACGGTGGAAATCGTACGGCCGCTGATGTCGCGGTGTCTAGCGCTAGGGCTTTGCGGGTTATGTTAGAAGGTAAGTTGCGGCGCTAGCGTTATTCTGCTGAAATTATGGATGATGGCAGGAAGAGCACGAAGTGGATAGAAATTTGAGATCTAGAAATTTGTGGTGCTGCATCCCGTCATCCCTTCACATGCGTGATGACAAGGGGGAAACGGCTCATTAGTTAGGGCTGCCCGCTCGACCTCAAATGTTTGTAGGGGTCTCAACTAGACGTACGACCACGCTAAATATTATGAGAACCTCGATCAACTTTCAGTACTAGAATTACGATACAAATTCTTCCTCTGATTGCGGGGTTTAACGAGTTTCTCCATGATCAAGAGGGGTAAACAGGAATATGAAACTTGTCGAGAAAAACAAACGCCTTGCACGCCTGAAAGCCACAAGGCACGACGACCCTTCTCGATATTAAACCCTTCAGCTTACGTGGCCGAGATGGATAAGTACAATGTAAATCCAGATTCTGCGTCAGTCTGCGTCATCTCGATACTTTCCAGGTGGCAAGGTCGTATGGCTGTCAAGGGAACTCCCTGTAGAGAGTAAGCGGAGGGGGGAAACTAGAGGTGTGATTGTAAGGAGTTATGGGAAGTCTGCATTGTGATTAGCTGGAATTTCTGCTGTATCCTTCGTTTTTGGATAAGCAGCCACCCCACCAATCACAGGGGGAAGTCGATTAGTCCCCCAGCCCCGTTTCCCGAAGCAACTTGGCTTGCCTGCCCAGTGCCCACAGCGGAAGCAGCCAGTCGGACTTGACTTGGACAGTCGCGCGTACAGTACAGCGCGGAACTTAGGGATTTCTGTACTCTCAATGCGCAGGGGTGGGGAAAAGTTGGAACCGCCGGGGAAATTTGATAGATACACCGACAGCCTCTTGTTACCATCTGACGCACTTCCATTTTTTAACATACTTCGGGCCTCGCGTGAGAGAAATTATAGAAAGTGGTGCTTTTTGAGTGAACCTCGGGCTAAATATGAGAGAAATCTGAAAGTCAGGAGCTGGGATATACTTTCCCTAGGAAAAATTGTTAACATAGGTAGTTCATACACGTGGTGGTCTCAGCAGTGATTTGCATCCAGGATCTCCTTGTGGGCAAACTTACCTCTAGCTAGCGTTTTGGATCCAACAAGGTGGATAGTCTTCCATTGAGCACTCTTCGTCGTTTGTTGAAAAAAGCACAGAGCTTTATTTTGACAATTCCTGGTCTTTTCTTCCGTGCTTCAAGGTCGCCATTCTTCTGTAGAATAGGAAACCATTAGCTTTCTTTTTTATACAAGTAATGAAAGGAGGGGACTGCTTCAAACAAGGCAATGCTTTTTTAATACTCTGCCATTAGCGAGTACGGAGCAGCTGTCGAGCTTAGAGCGGGAACATGTCGTGGGAGGGTGACAATAACGAGCGGGTTCTGGTGCCTGTAGGCAGTGACGCGTGTAGCAAGGACGCGCTGCGATGGGCCGTAGCCAATAAGATCTCGCATCCCGACGACCTGCTCGTGCTGCTTCATATCGTCACCAAAGCGCCGGGTAAGACGCGACAAGTGACACAGGCAACGGGTCAAGTGAGACGGGGCCAAGCAAAGTCATCCCGACGACCTGCTCGTGCTGCTTCATATCGTCACCAAAGCGCCGGGTAAGACGCGACAAGCGAGACGGGCTGTGCGCGAGTAGCATGCCGAGGGAAACGAGGAAAGATCGACTTTTGAGGCGCCTCAAAAGTAGCATGCTGGGGGAAAGGACTCCTTTCCTCGGAAGAAAGATTGAGCAACGAATCGACTGGGACGCGCCCGTCCGGTGAGACGCTCGGCGCTCTCCGATTGGCGGCTGAGTCAAGCGCCTTGCGACCATGTGTGGAAGCGGACGTTGGATTTCCAGTAACTTGGGATGACACCTACATTGCTATATCTACACATGGCCGCCTCCAGTAAAGTTTGAGATGATACCTACTACGTTCTGATGTTCCAGTGACATACTGAATCGTGTACAGCAACCGAGCTTTGCCATGTCAGTGTGTTGCGCTCCGGGTTTGCTTCGGTTGGTCTTAACTCAACCGTGAATCGGATCGGACGGATCTCATCTGTGCGTGCGCGTACGCGTTTTTGGCAGGCCCAGTTGGTTAAGTCTCAAAGCGTCTCGTTAGTATAAATGCATGACTCCGATGCCTGTTGCAGGTCCGGATGGGTACGACGTGGCGCAGAGCGGTGTGTCGAAGACGACGATCGTTCAGCACGTGCGCACCGCCATCATGCCCATGCTCTCGCAGCTCAAAGCCTCGATTGACGCCAAGGTGAGTGAGAGCCTGGAACCGCGCTGGCTTTTGGGCGCCTCGAAAAGCAAGTTTAGAACTGCGCCGCGAGGGCCATCATTCCCACGCTCTCGCTCGCAGCTGAAAGGAAGGCCTCCATTGACGCAAGGTCAGTGAATGAGGGTGTAGGCTCCGTGCGCGTAGTGAAGGTCATCATGGTGATCATCATGCCCATGCTCTCGCAGGTGCAGGAAAAGCAGCCATTGACTGACGCAAGGTGAGAGACCACTCTCACTGCGCCCACTTCTCAGGCGTGGGGCGCAACGACTCGCAGGGATTTTTTGAGAATTCTCGACGCTGCAGGGATTTTTTGAGATTCTCGACGTTGCAGGGATTTTTTTTAGAATTCTCGACGCTGCAGGGATTTTTTTAGAATTCTTGACGTCGCAGAGAGTTTTTGAGAATTCTAAAAAAAACCCTGAGAGACCACTCTCACTGCGCCCACTTCTCAGGCGTGGGGTGCAACGACTCTCAGGATGCGGGGATCATGGAGGGCCACACGCCTTGCGCTTCCCCCATCGAGCTGAGTGCCCATTTCCCCCATTCCCTTCCCCCATCCGCCTCTCGCCCCCATCAGGTGCGCCTGGAGCTGCGCGTGGGCCGCAACGACTCTCGGGACGCGGGAATCATGGAGGAGGCAAAGAAGCTGCACGCCACGTGCCTCGTGCTCAGCACCAAGGGGCGCGGAATGTTTTCCATGTAAGGATGGTCTTAATACGATGAGACAGATGAGAGGTAATAACGCGTCTGAGAGGTAATAACGCGTCTGAGAGGTAATGACGCGTCTGAGAGGTAATGACGCGTCGCGAAGATCATGGAGGGGATGAAGTGTTGTAGGGCAGCCCATGTGCCTCCTTCACTATTCTACCCTCACCTTCTCCTTCCTGCCTTACCTCCCCTCCCCTTCCTCCCCTCCCTGCTCTCCCCCCCACTCCCTCCCAGGCGCGGCAAGCTATCAGGCAGCACGAGCGCCTACTGTCTCAAAAACCGGCCCCCCTCGCTCTCTGTGATAGTCGTCTCTAAAGACAAAGTTCTTCTCTCCAAGAACGGCGAGTCCACTCCCCTCGACCGCTCCCCCGCTCTCTCCGTCACTGGAAGCCCCCTCCCCGGCGTCTCCTCCTCTTCCATCCCCTCCGCTGGCTCCTCCCCTGAGGAGAGCCGCCGGAACAGCGAGAACCGGAGCGGTGAGAGCCGGTCGGATGCGGTGCAGATCGCACAGGACGGTGAAGGTGGTGGGAAAGTCAGTGGGAGCGGGAGCGGGAGTGGGAGTGGTAGTTTTGGCAAGGGCAGTTTCGTGCGAGCTGCCTCTTCGCTTTCGGATCGTTCTGTTGTCTCGGATGGGAGCAGCAGCAAGGAGGTAACTGAGGTACTGACTGTGGCGGCAGATGGTGGTTCAGGAGAGGAGAGGGGCAGGGGGGACGGGCAGGAGGCGAGCGGCAAAGGGAAAGGGGAGGAGAGGGGGGTGGATAGGGAGTTGCAGCAGTTGCGTGAGCAGCAGCAGCAGCGGCTGTTGCTGCACCAGCACCAGCAGCTTCAGGCAGCAACCAAGCTTGCTGCTCTTATGGAGGGTGTTAATGTGGGCGGGGGAGCAGGGGGAGGGGGAGGAGGGTGGGGAGGGAACGGATTTGGAGGAGAGGGGAGAGGGGAAGGGGGAGGAGTGGGAGGAGGGGGAGCAGGAGGGGAGCATGCTGGTGGGGATGGCATCGGAGCCGGCAGTACGTGGAGTGACCCGCATGACTCTGCCTCTGTAGTTCATGCAGTTGCCAGGTCGCAACAGCATGGCAGCAGTGGTGGCACTGGCGGCAGTGGTGGGTTCAGCCTGGCGAGCAGCACAGGGACCACGTTCACCATGGGGAGTGGGAGCGGTGCGAGCAGCAGGGCTGGCAGCGGAGGCGAGCCCACCGCCTCTCCCATCGGCGCCACCGGCAGCGGCAGCGGCAGTGGGGACGGGGCAGTTGGGGCCGGAGGGAGGGAAGCAGGCATGGTGGCTGCTGCATCTGCTGGGGCTGGGGTGAAAGAGACCGGTGGGGTGGGAGAAAGTGGGGGGGCAGCGGGGGCGGCAGGAGCACTGGAAGTGGCCAGTGGGGTGTACTGCCGCGTGTATTCGTATGAGGAGATTCAGGTACGATGGCTTATGAGGCGCCTTATAAGGGTACTGCTGCCTGTGCTGTGAGTACTCGTATGAGAAATTCCAGGTATGCCTGGGAAAGCCTAGTTTTGAGAAATTCCAGGCGCCTAATAACTAGCTGTGCGTACTGGTGTGAGGAATTCCAGGTATGTCTGGAAAAGCCTACAAAACGGCGTTGAGTGGGATGTTGTGCTGCGTGTACCAGTATGAGAAGGCCCGGTTGTGCCGCGTATTGAGGCGCCTGAGAAGTGTTGCTCTTATGAGGGGATCTATACACTCTCCACGTTCTCCTCTCTCCCATTCCCATCCTGGCCACGCCCTTCCCCTCTCCCGCACAACAGAGAGCGACGGACAGCATCAGTCCCCAGCTGCTGTTGGGAGAAGACAGGAGCGCTGTGCTGTGCTCTTGCCATCGTCCGCACTGTTCTACTAGTTGCAGTACACTCTCCTTTCTCCTCACTCCTTTCCCCACTCCCCCCTCTCCCGCACGCCAGAGAGCAACCGACAATTTCTGCCCCCAGCTGGTGCTGGGAGAGGGCGGCTGCGGCACCGTCTTTTCTGGGATGCTGGGCGGCAGCAAGGTGGCTGTGAAGGTGATAAAGACGGAAGATGCCACCCGGGCAGCCAAGGAGTTCCAGAGAGAGGTGAGCCGCTGCTGTTTCAAATCCGGTTGAAGCTGCTGTTGCTTTTTTCTCTTCTTCTGTAACCCTAAATCCGTTTCCCTATCTTCTTCCCATTCCTCCCGCTCGCTCATGCATGAAGCTTGTCTCTAATGTCCTGCTGTTGTCGAGGTGACTTTTGAGTCGACTCAAAAGTCACCTTGAAGCCTGTCTCTAATGTCCTGCTGTTGTCCTTGCAGCCTTTGTTTGCACCGCTCACTCCTCTTTTTTGTCGTTGCCCGTGTTTCTCCCCTCAGCACCCGTCTCTTGACTCAACTCCTCGGGTGGAGAGCTATTGAGTCAAATTCACCACCCACATGTGCTCTCGCTGCTGGGCTGCGGCCCGTCCCACCATCACATCACCAGCGCACTCTCTGCCCCACACCCCCCCCCCCCTCTACTCCAATCCCTTAGGTGGAGCTACTGAGTCAGATCCACCACCCACATGTGCTCTCGCTGCTGGGGTGCTGTCCGTCGCACCACTGCATAGTGTACGAGTTCATGGCCAGCGGCACTCTCGAGGAGCGCCTGCTCTGCGCCAACAACTCGCCGCCCCTCCCCTGGTTCGCCCGCCTCCGCATCGCCGCTGAAATCGCCTCGGCTCTCCTCGCATTACACTCGCAGCCAAAGCCTATTATCCATTTGGATCTAAAACCCGCGAATGTGCTTTTAGACAAGAGGCTTGTAGTGAAGCTGGCCGATGTGGGGGTCGCGAGGCAGATGCTGGGGAGGGGGGGTTCAGACCAGGGCTTTAATGTTACGCATGCGCACACGTCTATGCCCATCGGGACCGTTGCTTATGTCGACCCGGAGTACCAGCGGACGGGCGATTTCAGCCCGAAATCGGATGTGTACGCCCTTGGGATTATCCTGTTTGACTTGCTGACGGGGCGCCAGCCGGCTTGGTATGAGAGAATAGAGGATGCTGTGGATGAGGGGGACGAGGAGGCGCTGGGAAAGCTGCTGGATGGCAAGGCAGGGAGGTGGCCTGTAGGGCTGGCTATGGAGGTGGCGAGGATTGCAGTGCGGTGCAGTGAGATGAAGAGGAAAAAGAGGCCTGATCTTGGGGAGGTGGTGATGCCGGTGCTGATGAAAGCACAAAAGGAGGCTGTGATCTTGATGGAGAGAATGATGGCTGGAATGTGATGAAATTGTTGGATGGATGTAGAGAAGATTGACAGGTGAAGAAGCAGAGAAAGGAGAATCTGCTGAACATTAGCTTTTGGGTGCATTCTGTGGGAGAAAGTTGTTAGGTATGTTGGTAGTTATTGTGTTTTCTATGTGTAAGTGTCCCTTCAAGCCAGGATCTCAAGTAAGAGAAATTGCAGGCATTGGAGCTTCGTCACCGAACCAGTTTCCGAGCCTTGCTTGGTTCGGACTGAACTTGCGATTTGTCTTTACTTCGCACCCCTCGCTTCACACCTCGTCAGATTGTTCACCTCGCTAACCAATCGCAGCCCAGCTCCCCTCACCAACTGCAAAACAATTGAACTACTTGAGATCCTGGCTTTAATGTTGCGTGGCTAATGCTTACCGGTTTAGAAAAAATATTAACGGGTGACGATGTGTGCTTGCAACGAGTTTCAGCTTTCGTTGCCAGCTTCCTCATATCAACGGCCAGATTCTCTACAGCAAATGCCGCGGCAGCATTGTCAAAGGTGGCAGCATTGAGGTTTGTCCGTCTCCTATTTTCTGGCCTTTCCTTGCAGAACACGGGCAGAGAAAAGCACAAAATCCCACTCACGACAATTGCCGCTGTGAAAGCAAATCCTGACAGACTCGGTCCCGATTTGAAAAGTTTTCCGCTCCAGTGGGCAGCGAAACGGATAGTACAGTGGCAGCATCGATTTCAGTTTCCTTATGCGTATCAAACATCGAGAAAAATCGGCAGCTTGGCAGGCCATGGCTGTGTGGGTGACCGCTGTACGAGTGTTCTCGTTTATAGTCCGACGGAATGAGACGCCGCGCGCAGACTATGTGCGAAAACCTTCAAACCCCGGGCAAAACGCGATACTTATAGTCTCGTTCAAGAAATTTTCATGAAGAGTGGTTTGTTTGCTACTAGTTTTTGGATTTTGCCTTTTACGTAGATTCGGACCATGCTTGCTTCAACTTCTCGTTGCACGGTTCCCCGCGCTGATCAATGTCCGCATGACTAACGGGCAAAAAAAACAAAATCAAATATGGTTTGGGGGTCAACTATAATGTAAAAACTTCAATTTTACCCTGTAAGCGAGATAAATGAGATGTCATCGTCGAGCGCGTTGGAGACCGCGCGACAGGATTGAAAAGTAGTCACGGTCAAGAGAAACAATTACTTACAATTCTAAAGTTAAATATCGAATCGATGATCCCTTATTTATCGTATTCCCTGATTTTTTTTTTTTTTTTTTGAAAGCTTACACAATACAGTACAAGCAAAACACTTCAGTCGTAACTGATGAACTGGGATCAGGCTGACAAAATTTCGCCTGGCCCTCCCTACAACTTTACGGTGGCTTCACAAAGGTCCTCGGGTTCGACCAGATAGACTGAAAATCACCTTGCCACTTCAACCCCACTACCTCGCTGATGCATATCCGCTGCATGACACGTGCCTCATCCTCCGCCAAGTTCCACCTCGCCTTATCCTTCCTCGCCTGCTTGCTCGGTTTGCCACAATAGATTCTCGCATGTTTGTTGAACTCGACATTAATCCTCCTGAGCCCCTTCCGTGCCTGGAACCTCTTCCCCTTGCGAAGCGACACATCACACCTTCCCAACCAAACCTGGTGCATCGCCATCGCCACCATTGTAGCCTCGGGAAAACCGGACTTCGTTTCCTCTTCCCCAAACACAAAATCCGCCAACATGTCAACCCGCCTTGCTGGCTGCATCATGCTGAGCGCCGATTTGACAGCACGGGCCACTGGTGCCATACTCCTGCATTCCAGCAAACAATGTTCCAACGTCTCCTCCAGCCCGCAGTTCGGGTATGCCACCCCCCCATTTCACAAACGAAACCCTCTCCCCCACTTGCAAGTTGAGGTTGTGCACGCGGAGGAGCACATCTCTCGCCTTGGCCGGAACCACCAAAGAATCCCGGACCCTCCTGCTCCTCTCCCAGTCAATTTTCCTGCCCGCCCGGGCCTCCCAGCTCAACCTCTTCCCTTCCACCGCCTCTATCCCCTTGCTTGGCTCTCTGAGTTCCCTCACTGGAACCACCACCTCTTCATTTTCCCTGAATGTTGGGCTGGTTCGATCTGGAGCCTCTGATTGGCTGCGGAGATGATTCGTGCAATGATTCGGTCAAGCTGCAAAATTTCCCGCCAAAAAAGGGACTATAGGGGTCGGGTCAATCCTAGGCGATATCGGAAAACTCTACTCAAGGTGGAAAAGGAACTCTTTTAGCGAAGGCCTCTAACCCGGAACATCTGTACAACAGACAGTGAGTGGCTGGGTTGGTGGTGGACAACAGACAGGCAGCCAAGCCAAGCCTACTTTCTGTGGCTAAAGCCAAGCAGCAGAGCAGACACAAGAAGCTGCATTTATCCAAAACATTCGTCCCAGAAGGCAAGTTGACAATGCTGCTGGACCTCCATTCAAGGGATCGTCTTCTCTTCGGATTTCGCGTTGTGTTTCAGCAGCAGCAACTCAGGAGGACCAATCGGCCGCCACAGAAAAGGTGGCGCATGCAAATCCTGCCCTGCCCGTACGCGTATCCTCTGCGATTCCTTTCCTCCGACAAACCTGGCTCCCCGAGTCCTTATTATACCAGCGAAGCCGCAGTGGTCCTCTGCTGATGAATGCCGGTAGAACCCCACCCTGACCTCGCGTACCAATGGATAAGGATCCACTGACTGACCCAGGCGCGTCTTGCAGCCTGTGTCAGCACTGAGCAGACTCGCAGAACCCCCTTACCCCATACTGTTAGAGTCAGTGCGCACACGAGAAGTTTCCATGGGATTTCCCGAACGGCTTTCAGCTGTAACGGCGCAACGGACGAGTTTTATAGACTTTTCTTGAGATTAATGCGAGTTTTACGTCAAGCGGTTCAATGCGAGGCTATTAACTATTTGTCGAGTCTTAATCTAACTAGTAAGAGCCACACCATTCCCAACCCAGCAGGCGATCTCAAAAGTTCTAACGTTCCCACATTGCGAGAAGATGTGAGAGAAAGCGAGAGGGAGCGAGGGGAAGCGAGAGAACGTGAGAGATCGCGAGAAGACGCGAGCGGGACAATTCAGAATATTTAAAGCGACAAGGCTTGGAGGTTGTTAGGGTTTCATGATGGCTCCCTTCAGCGGGGGCCCGGAGCGGATAGTCGTTGCCGTGAGCAAGGACCCGTCGAGCCGCGACGCCATAAAGTGGGCGGTTCGGAAGAAGATGAAGCGCGCCGATGACATTCTCATCCTCCTCCACATCGTCTCCAGGCTTCCCGCTCCAGGTAGGCTCGGGATCATCGGAAGCTTGGTATGGGAGGCTCGGTACGGAAGGCGCGGTATGGGAGGCGCGGTTTGGGAGGCCACGGTATGGTAAGCAGGACATTATGGTAGGTATGGTACGATAACCGAAGGCATAGCTGTAGCACGTAATCACAGTAAAATGCGGCGATGGCAGGGATGCGGATTTTTCCCACATCGTTCCAGTAATTCCGTATCGCGGTATCCCTTCCTCCTGGGATAACATTTTTCTGAGTTAGCCCTTGTTCCTGAAGTGAACTCGTATGCCGTCCGTCATATACCCCTCACACACTCTGCCAGCCATGGTCGTGCCTTAGGGATTTTGTCCTAAAAATTCAGCATGCTGGGTCCCCTAACAAGCTCAGCGCAAACAAATTTGCAGTTCTGACGTCCTCGTTATTGCGTCGAGAGTCTACTATGTTACTGCGGACCATAAGTCCAATGCCTCTCTTTCCCCTTCATCCCGTCCCCGGTAATCCCCGCAGGCCCATAGGGCAGCGCGGGGGCGGGCGGGGAGATCTACCTGAGCGAGGCATCGTTTGCAGCGTTCGTGGCGTACCTGCGGTTCAAAACGTGTGCAGTCTCAAAACGTTGCCGTGAGCGATTCGTGAGAAATTCTCAGAATGGCCCCCCTTTTCCAACTGTTTGTGCAGGCGTGTACGGCTCTGGCGGGGCGGGCGGGGAGATCTACCAGAGCGAGGTGACGACGGCCGCGTTTGTGGCGTACCTGCGGGACGTGGTGAAGCCCATGATGCTGCAGCTCAAGGCGGCTGTCGACCCCAAGGTGAGCTCAAGGCGACTGTCGACCCCAAGGTGAGCTCAAGGCGGCTGTCGACCCCAAGGTGAGCTCAAGGCGGCTGTCGACCCCAAGGTGAGCTCAAGGCGGCTGTCGACCCCAAGGTGAGCTCAAGGCGGCTGTCGACCCCAAGGTGAGCTCAAGGCGGCTGTCGACCCCAAGGTGAGCTCAAGGCGACTGTCGACCCCAAGGTGAGCTCAAGGCGGCTGTCGACCCCAAGGTGAGGCTCTGTAGATGTCACCGTGACTTCTGAGTCGACTCGCATGTGAGGTACCTGCGGAACGTGGTGAAGCCCATGATACTGCAGCTCAAGGCCGCCATGGATCCCAAGGTGAGGCCCTGGAGATGTGATGTGATGGCGGAGGGGAATTAGTGAAACATGCCATGATGCTGCAGCTCAAGGCCGCCGTGGATCCCAAGGTGAGGCTCTGGGGATGGAATGGTGAGCTTAAGGCGGCCGTGAACCCCAGAAGACACCAAAACACATTCAGTCGACTCAAAACACGCCTTCGTGGCATACCTGCGGGACGTGGTGAAGCCCATGATGCTGCAGCTCAAGGCCGCCGTGGATCCCAAGGTGAGGCTCTCTAGATGTGACGGTGACAATTGAGTCGACTCAAACTCGCAAGTGAGGTACCTGCAGGACGTGGTGACGCCCGTGATGCTGCAACTCAATGCCACCGCTGACCCCAAGGTGAGGCTCTCTAGATGTCATGGTAAGGAGAGCTGATCACGGATGCCATGATGCAAGGGCTGAAGGCGGCCGTAGTTCCCAAGGTGAGGCAGTGAGGACGTGGGCACATTGTGTTGCCCCTCGCAACATCTTACCCCGCCTTTCCCTTACCCTCCCTCCTCTCTCTCCCACACACCCACACTCGCCTTCCCCCCTCCCCTCTCCCCGTCCCCCAGGTGCAAGCTCGCGTGGAGCTGAAGGTGGGGCGCAGCAACTGGCGCGTGAGGGGCATTCTGGAGGAGGCCACGCGCCTGCACGCGTCCATACTCGTCATCGGCGCGCAGCCCAGCCTGTGAGCCTCTGAGACACGCCTCATGTGTGAGCCTGTGAGTCTTCATGTGCGCTTCAGGACACGCATGTGCGCCGTCACGGTTGTTGTATGCGGCTATTCCCCTTACTGAGACGTCTCACAAGCCATTTTGAAGGAGGCCACGAGCCTGCACGCGTCCATGCTCGTCATCGGCGCGCAGCTCAGCCTGTGAGTCTTCGAGATGGCTAGAACCATGCGTGTGAGTCTTTGAGACGGCTGGAACCATGCCTGTGAGTCTCTTAGACGGCTGGAACCATGCCTGTGAGTCTCTTAGACGGGAACCATGCCTGTGAGTCTTTTAGACGGCTGGAACCACGCCTGTGAGTCTCTTAGACGGCTGGAACCATGCCTGTGAGTCTCTTAGACGGCTGGAACCACGCCTGTGAGTCTCTTGACGGCTGGAACCATCCTTTGAGTCTCTTGGCACACGCCTGACAACACGCCTTCATTCATAAAACTGTTGGGCAGATTGAAAGATAGACAGAAACTTTGCTCATAGTGAAAGAAAGACTCGCCCCTCTGCTTTCCTCCGCTGCCTCTTCGGTCCCTCATCCGGGCGCCACAAATGTCCGTGTATGTCATTCAGGCGGGCAAGCTGCTGGTCAGCCACTCATTCCTCCACTCCCCCTCTCTCCCTCCACCCCCCCTCTCCCTCCCTCTCACCTTTCCATTTTCCCCCCTCTATCTTGCCCTCCCACCTCCCCCTCCCCCCCCATCAGGCACAGCGATTCCTTTGGCACGGGGGCGTATTTCATCCGCAACAAGCCGCCACACATGTCAGTCTACGTCATTCAGGCGGGCAAGCTGCTGGTCAGCCACGAGGCAGACGGTCAGATCACCGGCTCCCCTGCTGCTCTCGACGCCGTTGCTCTTGAAGCTGCAGCTGCAGAGGAAGCAGGAGGGGACGGAGGCGGAGGGGGAGGCGGAGGGGGAGGGGGAGGGGGAGGGGGGTTTGCAGACGGAACGGGGGCCCTGTTAGGCATGTCTCCGGGTCAGTTTGAGGGCGGTGGGCAAATATTGGTGGATCAGCTGCTGGCTGCCGGCCTGCGATTGGACACGCCGGCTGCTGAGCTGGCGGCGCTGAGGCTGCCTCCTGAAGTGTTGGAGCAACTGCTGGCCGCACAGATGACAGCTGGTGAGTCCAGGTGGCATGCGCTGTGTGCAGGTGGCATGCGATGAGTCCAGGTGGCATGCGGTGTGTGCAGGTGGCATGCGGTGTGTGCAGGCAGGCAGGTGTTGGTAACAAGCGGAACTGTGATATCCAATATTGCTTCCGATGCACATATTTATTATGTATATTTATTATGTATACCCCTTTCCTTGAATAACCATCCTTTCTCACGCTCTGTGTGTCCCACACACGCCACGCTCCTCACCACGCGTCCCCACGTGCCTGGCACATGGCAGGCAAGCCAGGGAAGAGCAGTCGGAGGAACAAGAGTCCGCTGCCCGCCGCCCCACCGCCGGCGCGCAGCAGCAGCAGCAACAACATCAACATCGGCAGCGGCATGAACATCGGTGGCAGTGGCAGCAGCAGCTTTAACAACAGCAGGTCAGAGGAAATACCTCTCTTCAGCAGCAGCCCAGGAGCGGACCCGCACCAGCAACTGCTGCTCCTGCAGCAACAGCTGCAGCTTCAGCACTTGCAGCAGCAGCAGCAGCAGCAGCAGCAGCAGCAGCAGCAGCAGCAGCAGCAGCAGCAGCAGCAGCAGCAGCAGCAGCAGCAGCAGCAGCAGCAGCAGCAGCAGCAGCAGCAGCAGCAGCAGCAGCAGCAGCAGCAGCAGCAGCAGCAGCAGCAGCAGCAGCAGCAGCAGCAGCAGCAGCAGCAGCAGCAGCAGCAGCAGCAGCAGCAAGGGGGGGAGCAGCAACAGCAGGAGGGCGAGAAGAGAAAGTCGCGATCCAAGTCCAAGGCACGCAAGAGCAGCCGCGACCAGCTTGCTTTGTCGTCGTCAGGCCTTCCTTTCGAGGTGCCGCAGGGCTCACTGGAAGGGACAGGGTTTGACGGCTTGGGGTACAGTCACAGTGGGAGTGACATTCCCATAGGCATCCCCCCTGCCACCATCGCCAATGCTAATGATACCAACGCTACCAACGCGAATCGGCTTGGTCAGTTCCTCACTCCGCCTCGCTCCCGTAGTGGTATGGATGGCCTGGCGTCCGTCCTCGCTAGAGACAGCCTCACTAGTAGCTCTGGCCCGCTGCCGCGCCTCTCCCCTTCGTTTAAGCCCTCCAGAGGGCGATATGAGGGAGGGGGGTATGAGGGAGGGGGGTACGAGGGAGGGGCGTATGAGGGAGGAGAGTATGGAAGCACTGGTACCTCTCCTGCTGCGGGGAGGAGGCTAAAGGCGAGTCGCAGTACTGTTGGCAGGCACAGGAGAGAAAGGAGCGGCGGTGCTGGCAGTGCTGGTGGTGGCGGTGCTGGTGTTGATTTTGCTGCCATGGGCGGTGGTGGTGCATCTGGTGGTGCAGACGCGTCTCGAGGGGCAGGGCGGAAGGTACGACCCTTTGTGGATAAGGTACAACCCTTTGTGCATAATTTACGACCCTTTGTGCATAAGGTCCTTTTTGTGTGCATTAAGGACGATTCTTTGTGCATGTTTTCGCACCTGCGAAGAAGCACATTTTGTCAGTCGCAGGTGTGTGCCAACCCCTCCCTCTACATCCCTCGTTCCTCTTCGTCCCTCCTCCCTCTATGCCCCTCCCCATCCTGTGCACACCAGAGCGCAGCAGGGATGGAGATAGAGCAGATGCGGCTACAAGCAAAGGAGGCGGAAACAGAAAGACTGCACGCAGAAAGGCAACTCAAAACCTCTCCTCCCTCTACTTTGCATCCCTCTTCCTTTCCGTCCCCCCACCCCCCTCGTGCTGTGCACACCAGAGCGCAGCAGCAATGGAGATAGAGCAGATGCGGCTGCAAGCCAAAGAGGCGGAAACAGCAAGACTGCATGCAGAGAGGCGGCTGCTACAGATGCGTGTGCAGGCACAGGCAGGACGGGGGGAGGTACCTGCTGAGGCAAGCCCGTGGGGAGGGAGAGGGGAGGAGGGAGCAGGGCAGGTGAGAGGAGAGGGTGGAGTGGCAAGGGGAGGAGGCGAGGGAGAGGGGGGCGAGCAGTCACAGTACAGCTATGAGCTGGCGCAGTCGCAGAAAGAATTTGAAGCTGCCCGGATAAAGCTGGCTTCAGTGGAAGCAGCTTTGGCCCGGGCAGCGGGCAGAACGAAACAGGAAGATGGAGGTGAGAGAGGAGTAGGAGGAGCAGGGTCAGGACGACGAAAGGGGCAGTCGGGGTTATCTGTCAGTGGCAGCAGCGGCAGCAGAGGTGCTAATGCTGAGGCAGCGGAGGCATCACCTGCTGCTGTTGCAGCGGTGGCGGCGGCGGCAGGAGCAGCAGCACAGAGGCTAGCTTATAGAGGAAGCAACCCACACCCCAGATTTGAGCAAGGGGCCAGAGAGGGTTTAAGATGGGAAGAGACTGAGAACGGGAGGGATGAGGATGAGGGGCAGGAGAGCGGAGAGGAAGAGGAGGAAGAGGAGGAGGACGAAGAGGAGGAGGAAGAAGGGGAGGAGGATGACGAGCTACAGATAGATATTTTGAGTGCGGCTGGGAGTGGTGTGGTGCGGTATACAGATGGGTCCTCCTCCACCTTTGACCTTAGCTCCCTATCCCCTTGCTCACTCAACGGCACAGGCTCAAACAGCCGCCCAGCCTCTGCCAATAGCCGTCCACCCTCTGCCAACAGCCGTGCCCTAACAAAAAAGCTCTCCCAAAATAGCAACCTTTTCTTTACTGGAGGGTTTGAGGGTACTGCGAGTGATCTCCAGGTCGACCTTTTGGGCGGCAGCTCGTTGGGTATGGACAAAGGAGCGGACGGCACAGAGGGCGGGGAGCAGCCAGATGATGATGTGGATTTCTCTCTTTCCATGTCAGAGCTCCAAATCGACCTGCTTAGCCCTGGGGAGAACATGAGGAGGGGGGATAAGCTTGAGAAGGAGCAGGGGGAGTGGAAGCGGGAGAGAGAAAGGGGTGGGGGGGAGTTGGGAGAGGTACAGGAGGATGATGAGGAAGGGGATGGGTGCGAGCTTGACTTAGGGCTTAGTCTCGTGGGGAGCCCTGTGAAGGATGGGCGTAAAGATAATGGCAGAGACATGGAGGGTGGCGACAGTATTGGTGGCAGCGGCAGTGGCAGCATTGGTAGTGGCAGTGGCAGTGGCGGTGGCAGCAGGAGTGGTGGCAGCAGTGGGAGTGTGGGTGAGATTGTTGAGGAGAGGGAGAAGGAGGGGCAAGGGAAGGGAGAGGCGAAGGAGAAAGGAGGGGAGGGAGAAGGGAAGGGTAAAAGAGCTGGAGCTGTGAAGCATGTGATTGGTCGAGGGCAGTACCGCGTGTACAGCTATGAAGAGATTAAGGTAAGTAAACTCTAGGGGCGGATGGGGTGATTGAGGGCAGATGGGATGGGATTAACCTGATTCCTTACGGCTCGAATTCCTAGCGCTGAGTCATCACATGGACTAAGTGATCTTGCAGTTCGTTTGAGCAGTCACAAAACCAACTCCAAAGTAGCTGAAGTGAGGGCGTGCTCTTGGGCAGTTTTTATTTTCCAAGGGCAGAACCTGAATTGCTCAACGGAGATCACTGCGGGAAAATAGGTTTGGGAAAGCAGCGAATTGGAGGTTCGGAAACTTTGTCCAACCCTTCTTTCCCAAAACCAACTAGGAGCCAGATGCAAGGTGGGCCCTGTTTGCCCCCCCAGCTCTGCAATTCAAATTCTGCCCTTTAGGCAGTTCGTGTTTTTTCCTTTTCTTTTCTTTCGCATTTCTTCAATAAATATTTTCCGTCTTTCCCCCCAATCACAGGTCGCAACTGACAACTTCAACCAGAAGAACCGGCTGGGCGAGGGCGCGTTTGGCACGGTGTATGGAGGGCGGCTGCACCACACACGCGTGGCGGTGAAGGTGCTTAAAGCCACAGACGTGGTGAAGGCCACCAACGAGTTCCAGCAGGAGGTGAGGCAGAGTAGGGGGTAGTGGGATGGGGGTGAGCGGGGAGGTACACCCAAGTGGTGCGGTGTGGTCATTGGGCAAACCCAAGGGTGCCACTTCTGACCTGTTGCATTCTAAACCTTCTCACACCTTCCCAATACTCTCTTTCAGTCCCGTCCTCCCTCATTTCAATTTGTCTTACCGCCCCCCTGTCTTGCCAACCTGCCCCTGCCCCTCAGGTGCAGGAGCTAAACCAAATCCAACACCCGCATGTGGTGATGCATGTGGTGATGCATGTGGTGTGGTGATACTCTTGGGATGCTGCCTCTCCCATCACACACTGCCAATTCATTCCCTGCCCCATCTCTCCCCCTCCCCCAATCCCTCAGGTGGAGGTGCTAAGCCAGATTCAGCACCCGCACGTGGTGATGCTCCCCGGCTGCTGCCCGACCCACCACTGCATCATCAATTCACTGTTTCCCGCCGCCTCTCCCCCTCGCCCCCGCCCCTCAGGTGGAGGTGCTAAGCCAGATTCAGCACCCGCACGTGGTGATGCTGCTGGGGTGCTGTCCGTCGCACCACTGCATAGTGTACGAGTTTATGGCCAGCGGCACTCTCGAGGAGCGCCTGCTCTGCGCCAACAACTCGCCGCCCCTCCCCTGGTTCGCCCGCCTCCGCATCGCCGCTGAAGTCGCCTCGGCTCTCCTCATCCTCCACGCGCGCCCCATCCCCATCGTGCACCGCGACTTAAAGCCCGCCAACATCCTTTTAGATAAGAATCTCGTCGCGAAACTCGGCGATGTGGGCCTGGCGAAGCTGATGCCGGGAACAGGATCGCAGGTGCACACGCACGCGCATGATTCCGTCCCTGTGGGGACTCTCGCTTACGTCGACCCAGAGTTTCAGCGAACCGGGGATTACGGGCCGAAATCCGATGTGTACGCGCTGGGGATTATTTTATTTGATATTCTGACGGGGCGCAAGCCGACGACTTATGAGGAGTTAGAGGAGGCTGTGGATGAGGGGGATGAGGAAGCTTTTGGGAAGCTTCTGGATGAAAAGGGAGGGGAGTGGCCGATCGGGCTGGCGATGGAGGTGGCAAGGATGGCAGTGCGGTGCAGTGAGATGCGGAGGAAGAAACGGCCAGATCTGGAGAGAGAGGTGATGCCCCTGCTGGCGCGGGCGAGGGATGAAGCGGCAGAGGCTGAGGAAGCTGCCGGGAAGGACAGCGGGCGGTCGGGGGGGAGTAAGGACGTGCCTAAGGGGTTGCTGTGCCCGATTAACAAGGTAGGTGGGACGACTTTGGAAGGAAGGGGTTTTAGGAAAGGCATGAGTTGGCAGGTTGGGTGGGAGGAAGAGAGCCCAGGGAGTGCAGGCATGGCGTTACATGTCAAGCATGGCTGTGAGGTGGGCATGAGGCGTGACCATGTTTCACCGCCCCTGCTTACGCTGCTTGTCCAACTCATCCCCATATCAACACATCAAGTCTTTCCTTGTACTCTTGTCCATGCAGAAAATAATGGTGGAGCCGGTGTTAGCAGCGGACGGGTACACCTACGAGAAAGCAGCAATTCAAATGTGGCTGGAGAGAGCCGACCTATCCCCCATAACCAACGAGCCTATGCCCCACAAGCACCTGATGCCGAACCTTGTGGTTCGGGATTTGATCGCTGACTGGACCAACAAGAATGTAAAAAGCGAAGCATAGGGTTGTCGAAGTGAACCAAGCGTTTGCCGCCCTTTTCAATTCTGCAGGTATGACAAAAAAAAAAAAAAAAAAAAAAAAAAAAACCAAATTCAGGCTTCATCTTGGGCATCATTAGGGGGGATTCCTTTTTTGTATTTAATATATGCTTAAATTGTTTTCATCTAAACATAGGGGTCCTGTTCGAATCTAGCGAAATCCAGAACGATACGTAGCATACTGCATTGGAGACCACGAACGACAAAACAAGCACAGCGCGTACGACAGCCCGCTTCTTGTCTTGTTCCCCCCCCTTCCTACAGTGCGCCAGTCAAGCTTTGCGCCAATCTCTCCCCTACAAGCGCGGGCGCAACCTGTCAAACTCCACTCTGACACCTATGCTGCGCAGCTTGCGCCTCTCTCACAATCCCCCACCGCTGAACGTTCCATTTCCCTACTCACCCCACCTCACCGCACCTCATCGCACCCCACAGCACGTCACCGACAAGGTTTTTCGCCACCGTACAACAAACGGACTTTGCGGGCTCAGGGAGGTCAGAAGTGGTGACTTTGTGGAACGTGTCGATCAATATTGATTATCGATTGTAATTTGTCTCAGCCTCCCGCAAATGGCGGCGCAGTATGCTCTCTCCACAGACGCGCTTTCCTCAGTGTCCTCCTAGTCGATGGTAAACCCTCAACGGCAAATCCATTTCCTTTATTTAACGACGGTATCGGAGCTGCTGCGCTCGGTCAAGTTCTCGTTCCTTAGTCAGCTCGCTCTCAGCGTCAGCATTCAACCAACCACCGTCATCCCCACTCTGCTAGCCTTCGCACGTCCGCTCTGCGTCTGAGCGCTGAGCGATTCTACATTGCGCGTTTCTGCAGTGACGTTCCGCCGCGCTCGCTGATTGACGAACCAAAAGCTAACGAGAGGCGCACATACGCTCTACGGAGCAAGCTTTGAGCGTTTCTGTATAATAGTCTATACGCCTTAAACGGTCCTTTCAGCCGGCCTCGGTCGCACCTGATCTTCCCTCTAGTGCTGCGCCGTGCATTTTTGCAGCAGAGTTCCACCGCCGGATTGACCAACCAGCGGCGAATCCGAACTGTCCGATGCGTTGCTGAGGTCTGCGCATGTCGCGCTTGCCTTGTCTCGCTGTAGCGATCTCGACCAATGGGCGTCAAGCTTCAGATTCAGCTTCTCGAGGCACGCGGCCTGCCGCCCAAAGACAATGGCGGTGCGAGAGACGCGTTCGTGCGGTTCCAGATGGGCGGCTCGAAGGCCCGCAGCAGGAGTGTAGCTAAGGAAAACGATCCGACGTGGCAGGAAGAATTTATCTTTTCGGTCAGCGACATGGAAAAAGACGAACTGCTGGTAACGGTGTGGGACAAGAGCGTCTTCCTGGGGGAGGACTTTCTCGGGCAGCTTGTGCTGCCCGTGCGACAGGTGCTGGCGTGCGACAGCTACGAGCTCCAGGCGACGTGGTTCCCGTTACAGAACAGGCCTGTGCGACCGCGCGCGACGGTTACAGGCGACGTTTTGATTTCCGCCAGCCTGTGGGGCGTTTTGTCGTTAGTGGCGGAATCCGTCTCCCCTTCCTCCTTGCCATCCAGCCCCCTCCTTCCGCCCACTCCCTCCCACTCCGCCCCCGCTGCCCCGTCTACTTCCCCCCTCGCCGCGCCTTCCCCCGTACCCTCCCCCTCCCTCATCTCCACTGTCAGCTTTGCCTTTCCTAAGCCTTCTTCCACACCCCCCCCTTCCGCCCCTCCCCCTTCCGCCCCTCCCCCTTCCGCCCCCGCCTTTTCTCTTCCCTTCAAGCCCGTGTTGCGTCGCCATACAGGCCCCTCCGATACAGTCACACCTTCTGCTCTCTCCCCGTGCAGGGAAGAGGCCGAGGGGGAAGCGTGGGGCGGAGGGGAGAAGGAGGGACGGGGAGAGGGGATGGGGGAAGGGGAAGGACAAGGCGAAGGGGAAGCAGAAGGGCAAAAGGAAGGGGAGGAGAAAGGGGAAGCGAAAGTGGAGGGGGAAGGGGAAGGGCAAGGGGAAGGTCATGAGGCATCCGGCGGCCTTCAAGGTACAGAGAAGGAGGGCGAGGATGGCACAGCAGCAGCAGCAGCTGTCAGCAAACCGCGGCACCAGATCCTCCAATCCCTCACCGAGTCCTTAAAGCCCAACCCGCAGCAGCTGCAGCAGCTGAAGCAGCGCCTGCACGCCTCCAAGCTGTCCGCCAGATCAGCCATCAGGTCATTCGGGCACGCCGTGGAAAACAGCGTTGCCAAGGCCGGGCAGACCGTGCGTGGTGCCAACGCCAAGGGGGGTGGGGGTGCGCCCGTGGCGGCTGACGGGGAGGAGGGGGAGGGGGAGTCGCGGAGAGGGTCGTTGGGGGAGGGTGACGGGGCGGGCGGAGGGGGGAGTGGGGAGCCCAGGGGAGGGGGAGGTGGCACGGGGGAAGCGGGGGAGGTGGAGGTGCCGGGGGTGTGGTGGGAGCAGGATATGAGGGACGTGCCGAGTGCAGGGCCCATGCCTGGGGAGCTAGCTGGAGGTGGTGTGTTGGTGGATCAGGCATTTGATGCCGCCCCGCACGCTCTCTTTGCTGCCATCTTCAAGCCCGACTCGCCCTTCTTCCAGGAATTCGCCACCGGTGAGTATTCAGTCAACTCTACAGAAAAAAAAAAAAAAAAAAAAAAAAAAAAAAAACCTTTCTGATTTGAGTTGACCTGAAGGACTTTGTGCTGGCATCATTTTGAGTCGATTCAAAGCAAACCGGCTCTGCACCGCACGCTCTCTCTGCTGCCTGCCATCTTCAAGCCCCGCTCGCCCTTCTTCCACGAGTTTGCTAATGGTGTTTTTTTAGTTTTGAGCGAAGGCTCATAAGATTTGTGTTCCAGGCTTTGTCTCCCATGTCTCTCCCTATTGTCAATTCTCCCTCCAATGCCACAACTCTCCCCATTGCCACAACCCTTCTCACGGGATGAAGTCGACTCAAAGGTCCAGTTTCCCCAACCTCCCCCCTCCTCCCTAACAGAACGCAAGCTGACACAAGTCAACATTGGCCCATGGTTTTTCACCGACAGCAGCACTGACAGCAGTCACATTGAAGCAAAACTCAATCGCAGCACAGCACACAAGGGCATTAAGCCTCCCGCCAACCTGCCTCCCGCTGCTGCTCCCAGAGGCAGCGTAGGGGCAGAGCAGCCGCAGGAAGACACAGGTGCCGTGATGCACCGCACTGTATCGTACATGACCGCGCCGTCCTCCCTTGTGAAGTCAGTCCAGGCAACAGAGGAGGTGCTGTGTGTGCGGGCAGATGCAGGGGGCTTCCTGGTGGCTGTGACTGCGAAAACCCCTGACGTGCCGTATGGAGGCACATTCGAAATTCACCTTCAGCTCTGCATCACTCCGCTTACAGAGGAGAGCATGGGCGCAGGAGGAGGAGCAGGAGGAGGGAACACAGGCGAGCAGAGCAGTAAAGTCCCAGCTTCAGCAGCAGCTGGTGATGGGAGAGAGACAGGTGCAGAGGGCTCAGGCAGTGGGGTGAAGAGTCGGCTGCGAGTGTCGTATGAGCCGTATTTCCTGCAGAGCACGATGATGAAGGGCATGATTGAGAATGGCATCCGTACCGGCCTCAAGGAGTCGTACACCACCTTCCTCTCTGTGAGTTGTCAGGCGCCTCAAACCTCCTCTCGACTTTCTCTTGTTTGCCGCACTTCCTGCAGAGCACCTTGATGGAGAGTATGGTTGAACTCAGCATGTGCACTTGCCTCAAGAGGAGTTGTATCTACCTTCCTCTGTGTGAGTGTGACATAGGGTGTGTGCCTCCTTCCTGGTTCAACCTTCAACACCTGCTCGCCCTTTCACAAGGTCGTTCTGTTCCTGGAAACCCCACATTCTGCCCCGCCCCTCTCCCGACTATCTATCTCCCATCTGTTATTTGTGTTGACTTTTCACCTACTCCCTGTCCCCTGCATCCCCTCATTCCCCCCCAACACTCTCTCAGGTTCTCACAAAGCACGTCCCTCCCTTCGTTTCCACTGCACCATCCACCTCACTCTCCCAACCCTCAACCTCCCCTCCTCCCTCCTCCCCACTCGCCCGCCTCCTTTCCCTCCTCGGCGTCCCCCCCCACCTCCACACCTCGGAAACGGCAATCGCCGAGGCTGCGCTCCGGGCGGCAGGCCCGCTTGCGCTCTTTGTCTTTTTCCTCGCAGTGGTGCTGCTGCCAATGCACCTGGTGCTGGTGGCACGGGGAGGAGCAGGGGTGGTTCTGCCGTTACTAGACCTACCGGATAGCTTGTTGGAGCTGCTATGGTGTGCCGTAATTCTTCTTTCCACCAACCACGTGGTTGCAATGGCACGGGGCATCATTGTATCAGAATACATCAAGAGTGAGTGATGGGTGGTAGGGATGGTGCTGCCGCTACTAGACCTACCGGATAGCCTGTTGGAGCTGCTGTGGTGTGCCGTGAGTCTGGTTTCCACCAACCGTGTGGTTACCATGGCACAAGGCATCATTTTTGAGTCGACTCAAAAATAGGACCATGTGGTTACCATGGCACAAGGCATCATTGTGTCGAAATACATCAAGAGTGAGTGATGGGGTAGCGAGGGAAGAGGGCTGTGTGGGAGGGGTGGCTGCTGATAGTGTCGCTGGTGGAGGGGAGAGCAACATGAAGCCATCAAGCAGGCTCTCTCAACGTGCTTGCCTCAATCTCGCTCAATATCTCAAGTCTTGCCCCTCACGCTCCGCGCTCGTCCCTTTCTCCCTGCTGCCATCCCTCTGTCTAAATAGAGGGCGACCATGGGAAGAAGGCAGTGGGGGAGGGGTGGCTGCTGACGGTGTCGCTGGTGGAAGGGGAGAACATCGGAGACTCAGGTGTGGTGATGAAGGCGGACCCGTTCGTGGTCTTCACTTGCAGCGGCAAGACCCGCACCAGCTCTGTGAAGCTGCAGACCAACATGCCCAACTGGAACGGTAAGAGCAAACTGACATGCCCAAGAGGGAGAGAGCATAGGGGACGTGAGCTGTTGTTGGCAAGACGCGCACCAGCTCTGTGAAGCTGCAGACCAGGTGGGTGAGCAGGGAAGGTCTGAGTGCAGACCAGGTGGGTGAGGTTTGAGAAGTCTCAAAGGCAGCTCTGTGAAGCTACAGACCAGCATGCCCAATTGGAACGGTGCATACAGGGCAGGTGTGAGGGAGCGCAGAGCAGGTAGGTGAAAGAAGGGGAGCGAAGTGACCTTTGAGTCGACACAGCAGCTGCACCACCTCAACACTTCCCCACTGCTTTAGAGCCGACTCAAAAGCACAGCAGCTGCACCGCTGCAATGCCTCCCCACCCACACCACCAGATGCTTGAGTTCGATGCCATGGAGGATGCCCCTTCCATTCTCGGAATTGAGTTCCGTTGACTATGATGGGCCTTTTTTTATTCCACATCTCCTTCCTTCCTTCTCCTCCTCCCACCCCGCATCCCTCTCCCATACTCCCACCAACCAGAGGTGCTCGAATTCAGAGAATTCCGCCATTCAGAGAACACTGTTTAACTTTCCTCCCACCAACCTCCCCCCCTCCTCCCATCTCCCACCACCAGAGGTGCTCGAGTTCGACGCCATGGAATGGTGGACGCCCCGTCCATCCTCGACAACTCAGTTTAACTTTCCTCCCGCCACCCGCTCCCATCCCCTCTGCTGCATCCCCTACCAATCAGAGGTGCTCGAATTCGACGCCATGGAGGACGCACCTTCCATTCTCGAGATCGAGGTTTTCAACTACGATGGACCCTTCTCGGAACCTTCCCTGCTCGGCCGGGCAGAAATAAACTTCCTCCGCCAGTCAGCGCAGGACCTGGCGGACCTCTGGGTGCCGCTGGAGGGCAGGCGGGTGAAAGTTCAAGCTGCCCGGATCCGTGTTCGGGTGCTTTTGACCAATACCTCAGAGGATGTGGCCCCTCTAGTGCTTCAGAAGATCAGCAAGGAAGTGGGCAGCAAGGTGAGACCATGAGGGAAGCAAGGTGAGGTTTGTTCGAGTTGAGGTGTTTTGAATGAGCGTGTGGGTTAAGTAGGGCTTCCCTCTGAGGGGCACCCCCCCTGGTGCTTCAGAAGATCAGCAAGGAAGTGGGCAGCAAGGTGAGACCATGAGGGAAGCAAGGTGAGGTTTGTTCGAGTTGAGGTGTTTTGAATGAGCGTGTGGGTTAAGTAGGGCTTCCCTCTGAGGGGCACCCCCCCTGGTGCTTCAGAAGATCAGCAAGGAAGTGGGCAGCAAGGTGAGACCATGAGGGAAGCAAGGTGAGGTTTGTTCGAGTTGAGGTGTTTTGAATGAGCGTGTGGGTTAAGTAGGGCTTCCCTCTGAGGGGCACCCCCCCTGGTGCTTCAGAAGATCAGCAAGGAAGTGGGCACCAAGGTGAGGGCAGCAAGGGGAGGCGGCAAGGTGGGCTCAAGAGGATGGAAGCAAAGGGGTGGTGGGTGAGGCAGCAGCTTTTCTCCTGCTGTGTATGTGCTTCCTTACAAATCAACCCACAATAATCACCTCTTTGTATGCCTGACACCAACCCACTTTACCTCCATGCCCCCTCCCCCTTGCCTTTCCCATCCTTCACCTCACCCCCACACGGCGGGGCATGCGGGAGTTTTCAGCGCAGATAAACGTAGCCTTCCAGCGGTTGTTCGAACTACCAGAGAGCGAGTGTCTCATAAACGACTTCTCCTGCATTCTCAAGAAAGGGCTGCTCTCCCAAGGCCGCCTCTTCCTCTCCCTGCGCCTCTTCGCCTTGGGCACCTGCATCGAGCTCACTCTCTTCTCCTGTCCCCCCTCTTTCCCACTCTTCTTCCCCTTCCCCCCTCTCCCTCCTCCAACCCCACCAGGGCGGCGTGCGGGAGTTTTCAGTGCAGAAGAACGCAGCCTTCCAGCGGCTATTCGACCTGCCGGAGAGCGAGTGTCTCATAAACGACTTCTCCTGCATTCTCAAGAAAGGGCTGCTCTCACAGGGCCGCCTCTTCCTCTCCCAGCGGCTCCTCGCCTTCTACTCTTCTGTCTTCGGCACACGCATCCAGTTCACGCTCCTCTGGGAAGATATAGACGAGATTGACGACAGCGTGCCGTCTCTCTTCGACCCGGCTTCACTCTCTTCTCAAAAAGACACCAAGTCACAGCCAACCCCGCCTTCATTGACAAGGTCGCAAACGACCAAGAGCCAGACGGGCTCCGCCGCCCAGAAGCCACCGGCTGCCGCCGCCCAGAAATCGTCCATGACAACCTTCAAGCGCATGCTCAACCCTGCGATCACCGTCTTCGTCAAAAAGGACAAGGGGACAGCGGAAACCCGGGCGGCGGCGTACGGCGTGGACTCTCAGGGGCGGCTGAAGATCCGATTTCAGTCGTTTGTGCGGCCGGGAGTGGCCTTCCGCCTCGTCCTTGCCTTATGGCGCAACCGCAATCTCCCCACCGACCAGCAGCTAGCTCGAGCCAAGGAGGAGGGAGATGCAAGTGACAGTGGCGGGGAGAGAGGTGAGGGTACGACTGTGGGGAGGGACGGGGGGGCTGGGGCAGCAGGAGTATCCAGCAGCGGAGGCCATGTTTGGGCGGCGAGAGGAGGGGCAGGAGGGGGTCAGGAGGTGACAGATTCGAGAAGGGAGTGGATTGCAGTGGAGGACGGAGGAGGGGCGTTTATGGGGGTGGAGACACGGGAGGTGATAGATGACCAGCTGGTGGGGGTACCCATCACAGTACGACAGTTCCTCACATCGTTTGAGGACCCAGCAGCCACTGCTGCCATGATGGAGAAGGCGGGGCAGATGGGGGCGGAGATCAGCGACTGGGAGGCTGTTTCTGTGGGTATGGGGGACGGGGTGGGGCAGCTGGAGGGCCGGGCGGCGGGCGGCAGAGTGGGCGGCGTTCTTCGGCGCCAGCGCAGCGTCAAGTACCGATTCTCTCGGCAGGTGAGAAGAAATGAATCACCTCATATTTTTGCTCTTGTCCCCACAACGCCCCCCCCTTCACCCCTCTCCCATCTTTCAGATTCGGGGCTAGTGTTGGGTGGTCAGCGTTGGTTGGCAGCACTCAGCAGTCAGCGTTGGTTCTTTCACTTGGGCCCAAGGCAGTTGTCCAACTGGTCAGCATGTCCGCATGTCTCTGTCTCGCCCATCCCTCCCACGAGCATTCCCTTCCCCCAACCAATCACCCAAGTGTCCGCATTAGAAAACAAGAGGGCCACTGTTCAGGGGCAGTTGAGGAAAATTTATGGATATTCCCCTTCCACCAATCAATCACTGCCGTGATTGCATGTCAAACAATATGGGCTGCCAGTCAGGGGCCAGGCCAGCGAGCGGATATCCTCCTTCCACCAACAAATCGCCTCCCTGCCTCTCCCGTCGCCCCCCTGGGCAGGTCCCTGTCCTCTCCCCAACCGTGACAGCGGTGCAGCAGATGACGCAGCAAGTCAGCACCCCGGGCGGCACCCCGGGCGGCAGCCAGGAGGGCGGCATCCAGTGGGCATGTTTGGAGCAAGTGCTCACTCTCCACAGAGTGCCCTTCGGCGACAGCTTTCAGGTGAAAACAACAGATAGCTTTCAGCGGGATGAGCAGAACTGTTTCAGGTGAAACAACAGATTGCTGTCAGGTGGAACGGATTGAGTTGTCCGACAAAACTATCAGGCTGCTTACCAGGTGCCATCGAGCAAGGAGCTTCTCCCGAGATAGTTTCCGAGAATTCTCAAAAATGGTGCCTGCTCGTTTGTCCATTCTCTCTTTCTCTTTCTAAACCTGCTCAGATCACTCGTCCGTTGTCCCCACCCCTTGTGTCCACGCAAACCACACTGGTAGTTGGAGATTTCTCAAGAGATCCAGGCCAAGGAGACGTTCTCTCTGCCGGGCACTGCAGCAGGCACAGCAGCAGGCACAGCAGGTGGCGAGAGCAGCCCAGCAGACACGCCCTGCTCATCTTCAACCTCAGCAGAAGCTGCTGCAACAGCTGCCAGGGGAGCAGCCGCTGTTGCCTCGGCTCTAGTTGCTGCTGCAGGCGCACTCAAACTCACAGCACGCGGGGGGGCAGCAGCAAGCGGAACGGCAGCAGGCGACATCGGAGGAGCAAGTGGGGAGAGAGGAACAGCTGGCAGTACAGCAGGAGCAGGGGCAGCAGGGGGGGTAGCAGGGAGCGCGGGCAGGTTACAAGAGGGGGTGTTGCAGGATGAGAAGGTGCGATCGGTGCTGCATGTGCGGGTGGCGATTGCATGGCACAAGGAGCTCAGTGAGGCCACACGCACCAAGATCAAGAGCAGCATCGGAAGATTCTACAAGCAGCAGGCACGGCGTGTGGTAGAACTTATGGCGGCTCATGGGACCTGAGAAGGGGACATGCTAGCTGTTGTATGAAGACGTCTTAAGAGACGTCTCAAAAGTTGACACTGGCCAAGATCAAGAGCAGCATTGGCCTACACTAGAAGCAGCAGGCACATGGTGTCGTCGACCACTGTGCAAGTCTTCTCAGGGATATGCAGAGTGCGGTCATACCAAGGGAGGGATAATGTAGAGTCTTCAGAATGATTTGTTCAGGCTCCTACAGGCTCCTACAGGCTCCTACAAAATGCTTTGTCAGACCTTGATAGTGCTGGGTCATACCTAGGCATGGTGCTGGGAAATTTTTGGGTGGGGAGCCCATGGATAGACCAATAGAATCCGCTCCAGGTTGTAAGTGGCAGAAAAGCGGCAGGTTGCCTCAGAACCAGATGCATAAACGTTGAACAGAGCTTATATTTGTGACATTTTGGCTTCTTAAAGTGGGCGTCTACAGCACCGTAGGCATACAAGGGTATATTGAGGAAGTCTATTGCGCAGTTAGACCAACTCTCAAGACCGGGTGAGGGCATTCTTTTAGGATTCTCGGAATAATACGCCCCGACCCAGTCTCAAGACCAGGTGAGAGGGCGGGGAAGAGTCGTGCCGTGACCCGCATGAGAAGGCAAGGGAGAGTCAAGGAGAGGAAGCAGAAGACCCACAGCAGGGGTTGCCAGTAAAGACATAGAGGAGTATGGAACTTACACTTCAAACTGAACCTCCCGAGACAGTCTCTCCCGTAGCGCCGCATTTGACAGCCGTGCTGCCGTGCTCCTCCCACTTCGGCGCACGCACCTGCACAAGCAGGGGCTGTCAAAAGAGGACAGGTGGGCTGCGGAGGCCTTACTTCCATCAACTCGTGTTGTTTTAGGACAACGAAACAAACTCTTCGGTGCACGCACCTGCACTGGCAGGGGCGAGGGGTTAGGGTGGGTCTGGAGGAAATGAATTGTCTAGTGTGAGGGGCTCCTCCCACTTCAGTGCACAAGTTGAATAACTTCTGATAAAGCCCAAATCATACCTGTGGGGGTCCTTGACAGAGCACCTGAGAGGGTACCTGAACTGTTACCTGAAGGGGCACCTCGGAAGCACCTGAGGGTGACCGAAATGGGGTACCTGAGGGGCCACCTGAGAGCGTACCTTTGGAGACCGTTTGAGCCACGTGCTCCAATTTGCTTCCATTGGCCAGTATGCTGATGCATTGATGTGCGTTTGCACGCACGCAAGTGTGCATGTGTGCACGCGTCAGGCACGCCTCATCATGGGCACGCACGTGCCTGAGAGCATGCATGCATGCAAGGCCGGGGAGAGGATACGCTCACCTATGCGAGCCCTGCCTGTACTGCCTTGTGGCCCCTGGTTGCCAGCCAACACCCACGCCCCACCAGTGTGTCCCTGGGACGCGCCACCCCTGGGATGAGAACAAGACGTTCAGTGACAGTCCCTGGGATGGGATGCAGCACCTCTGGGAGCAACAATTCAAGTCCCTGGGACGTTCATTCCATGCCTCTCAGCCCACGAGGCACCCACCCACACCAGAGCACAGACCAGAGGAACACACACACAGGAGCGTGCATCAGAAGCAGCAGAGGAAACGGAATTGGACGAAACAAGAATCTATTCTAAGACCTGCCGCACGGCGACATAGACTGCCTTTAACCCCAGAATAGACCCGCCCAAACAACTTACCAAGCGGAAATTGTGAGCCATGCTTTGAGACGGCTCGGAATGCGGAAAGCACCTCTCGCATAGCACCTCTCTGAGAAGCATTACCCCTTCACAGGCCTGTTGACGGCGTCCATTGGCCTCAACAGCGAACACAGCACAGAAACGGCGAACACAAAGGAGAGCGCATAAGAAGCAGCAGAGAAAGTGGACTCGGAAGAAAAAGCGACTCCAAGACTTGCCGCACGGCGACCTAGACTACTTTTCCCCCCCAATATATTGGCCCAACTACTTACCATACTGCCGTGGTAAGCCAACGACTGAGACAGCTCAGAAGGCAGACCCCACTCCTCGCTTTCATGGGACGCACTGTCAGCACATCCCTGGGTCTCATTCAGGTAGACCCCCCATCCCTAGCAGCCAATGCAACACAGCAACAAGAACAGGGAAGAGTTTGGCAGCAGCAGCAGTGGAGGCAGACTCAGAAGAAACAGAATCAGTTTAAGACCTGCCGCACGGCGACCTAGACTGCTCTTATTCCCCCCGAATAGACCCACCCAGTCACTTACCATGCTGCCATGGTGAGCCAGTTTCTGAGACGACTCCGCACTCGCACAGCACCGCTCTGACACCCTTAGCAGGACCCAGTGCATGGTCCTCAGTGCAGGGGTCACCGGAACCACAGCAGCAAACATCACACAGGAACATGCACAAAGGAGAGTGTGTCAGAAGCAGCACCAAAATCGGACTCAAAACAACAAAATCTGATTATAAGACTTGCCGCACGGCGACCCAGACTGCTTTACCCCCCTGATACACCTGCCCAGCCGCTCACCGTTCTCCCACGTTGAGACGAATTTCGTGACGCCTCAGAAGGCGGATCCTCACTGCTCCCTGGCACCGCACCTTCCTGGAACGCATGTCAGCGCGTGCATGAGCCTCAATTCAATCAGGGAGACCCCCGACCCAGAGCAGCCAACACAGCACGCGAACAAGCACAGAAGAGAGTGCGTCAGGAGCAGCAGAGGAAACGGACTCGGGAGAAACAAAACGTGATTATAAGACTTGACGCACGTCGACCTAGACTGCTCTGCCCCCCTGAAATATTTGCCCAACAGCTTACCAAACCGCCGTGCTGAGCCAGCTTCTGAGATGGCTCGAAAGGCGAATCCCCACCCGCAGAGCCCCTCCCTGGGACAAACCACCCGTTGGCATGCGGGACTGTTGACTGCATGGGCCTCAGAGGAGGAGGCACCGAAACCAGAACACACACCTCACAGGAACAAGCACAGAGGAGAGGGCGTCAGAATCAGCAGAGAAATCGGAGTCGGGATAAGCAGAGTCCGATTGAGACTTGCCGCACGGCGACCTAGACTGCTCAATATATCCGCCAACCGACTTACCATACTGCGGTTGTTGTAGAGGACTCTCCTCTACTTTGCAGGAACTGGGAGTTGTTCTAAACGATAGAGCTCTGTCTTAGCTTTCCAACGAGCCGTCAAACACGTCGATCGCCTAAGTATTCTCCGAGATATAGGCGTTCACGTGCTAGGTGGTGCTCTTGAATGCAAGTAAAGAAGCTCTCTGGAATTTGTGTTCGAATGTACCTTGTACAAAGAACTCTGAGTTTCACTATGATGGCATGCAATACAAAGAAAACAGATTTATAGCATGCAAACAAGATCGAATCGCACAAGTAACCTCGAACCGCTACACTCGCGAATGTTCGAGTAACATCGAAAGGGTGAAATTCGACTCTCGAATTTCACCGATCCGAATTCTCCTTGGGTCTCGAATGTTCCTGGTGCTGCCATGTGGCACCGAATCGAATGGGTCTTCCGAAGTCAATCCTCAACCCCACGCAAACCTGCAACTCACTCGAAGGTGAGCACAAGTCACACATTCGGTGGGTTGGGGGCATACAAACGCCCCACCACCACCTTGCTTCCAACACACGTAATCTCCAACAGCGGTGACGAGGCAGTTTCTGGGACGAACCACCCGTTGGCAGGCACGACTGTTGCCTCGCCCATGGAGCAGATTCTGAAGGCCCCGGACGCACTGCCCCCTCACAACACACAGTGCATGGAGGCACCGGACGCACAGCAGCAATCACAGCACAGAAACGAGCACAGAGGAGAGTGCGTCAGAAGCAGCACCAAAAGCGGACTCAAAAGAAACAAAATTTGATTCTAAAACTTTCCGCACGGCGACCTAGACTGCATACCCCCCAATAGAACCGTCAGCAACTTAAGTACCCCACCCTTTCTCTCTTCTCCCAACCCTCGCACTGTGTTGCTTTGCTTGTCATGCTTGCACCATGCATTACACTCCCTTTTTCACTGCTCTTTGTCACACCCATTAGACCTCCCTCCCTCAAGGTAGTAGGTAATTTTTTCTCAGTACAGCCTCAGTTATTTGATTTAGTTTGGTTCAGCTGGTACGAGGTCTCTTGGGTGTGCCACTGCAGCAGTCCATTCATGCACGCATCATGCTTGCGCTTGCTGCACTCTTCACTTTCACTTGTCTTGGCTTCTTTCCTCACTGCTCTCTCCACTCCTCTGCCCCCCCTTCACTCCCCCGTTTTCCTCCCCCCCTCCTCCCTTTCTCTCTCTGTCCCGATCTGCCCCCTTCTGGTCCTAGCAGGTCGCTCACATGGGAGTGGCAGTGGCGGGGGACATGGAGTGCACAGGCAGCAGCTTCTCTCCACCCAACCCTCTCACAGCTAAGTACCCTGCCCTTTCTTTCTATTCATGTGCTGCCCCCTGTCACACCCAAGAGACCTGAACCTACCTTCAAACCTGAGCCTCTGGTCGTGCTACAACTTCAAGCCACAGACCCCTTTTCTTTGGTAAACCACCCCAGGTACAGGTATCCTCTCAGGTTAAGCCTCCCTTTGATTCTGTGGCTTGTAGCTGAAGCTGCACCAGTGGCCCCCTTTCCTGCTGTTACCTTCACATTGTTCCCTCTAACCGCTTACTCACTTGACTTCAGTTCTCTCCTTGCAGATGGAGGGGAGGGGCGTAGGGGTCAACACCGCCTCTCCCCCGCACCCCTCCCCTTGTGGCCGTGCAGGTGGCAGTGGTGGGAGGAGGGGAGGGAGGCAGCACTGCCAGTCGCTGCCACAAGGGAGAGTATCGGGGTGGGCTTGGCCTCTCAAGGTACGTCATCTCGCCTCTCTGCCCTCATCCCCCTCTGTTTCTCGTCCTCAATTCTGCTGTCTCGTTTCTGTCAAACTTCAGTTTTGTTTGCTTTTGATGGTCTTGCCAACTCACCCACTTTCACTTTCCCCCTGTCTTCCCCCCCTACCAGGTCACTTGTCATTGAGTGAAGACTGTAGCAGAGAA